TTTGGAGACGGTGTGTGGCTTGTCTACTTCAATAATTCCATCTACTCGCCGCACAGGGGGCAAAATCATCAAATTTAGCAAAATACCCTAAGGTAAGTTTTCTTTCAACACCGCATCAGGAATAAAAAGAAATTGTCTAGATCCAACAAGATCTAAAGAGATAATGTGTAGATCTCTCAGAATGAAAAGAAAACACGAAGATAAACAACAATGAATCCAACAACTTAGGGATTCTACCTTATTTTGTGGGATTTGACCATATTTTGTGGGATTAGTTCCTAATCTTTAGAGATTTGACCTTATATTATGGGATTGGGTTTATCCACTATAATCTTGTGATAAAATCTAATCTTAACTAATTTGTGGATAAGATAACAAGAATTAGTTGACCATATATTTTGAGATTAAGCAAATCTACTACAATCCTTGTCAAATCTAAGAATCCTACCTAAATTGGGTTGCATTGAAAAAGGGTTTATGTCACGCCCCGACTCTAATCACCAGAGGAATTGTCCGCTTTGGTGGGTTGTAGTCCACGGACGCGCCTACACCTCAGTGTAGTCCCCGCAACGCCCTACACGCTCAACGGTTTTGTCCCACAGGTGAAATGAGAAACTTCCCCAAGGAGGTCACCCATCCTGAGATTTCTATTAAGCGAGCACGCTTAACCCTGGAGTTCTTCCAACTCTCCAGCCATTCCACCGAAAGGCGACTGTAATGATCAATTTCCCCCTTTTCGATATATGATTCGATTCATTCCTGTGTCCCGCATTCCACTACCCTAGCTAGCCTGCCATTCCCCCGATCGCTTTACCGGGTCGGGATGTCACAGTTTAATACAGCACGCCCGTGCTTCACCTCAAGCACACCCGTGCTAGGGCCTGACCTTCAGTTATTGGACTAAGCATTACACGCACGCCCGTGCTTCCATCTAGCACGCCCGTGCTCGGTTCTGACCCTATTAAAAATATTGTTTTCTTTTGGATTTTCTTTGATTGCTCTTTGATTGCTTGCTTTGTTTTGGGTAGAATTAATTAGGTCCATATTTGGTTTGCTTTGTAGTAAGTTGAATTCATACATTATATCCTGAAATTGTCTTTTAAATTCTAGTTTCTTTGTTTTTGTGTGAACTTTCTATTGCTTCTATTACATTGATAGGGTGTGTTTGTTACTACACTCTAATTGATAATTACAGTAGTGCATTACTTATATTCTTGTGCTATTATCCATCTCGTTTTGAGTCTTCTTTTTAAAATTTGTGCTTGCTTTTCTTGTTAAGATTTATTCCTTGTTTCTAAACGTGCTTTTGAGTTGAATTGGTTGGCCTAAGATTCTGAAGTTCAATTGGAGGAATTGCAATGAGTGATGGATCAAAAGGAGTGTAAAACACGTGAGGGAGTGATTGATCAAATAACCCAAATCTTTTGTGTTTTCTCTTGAATATTTAAACCAATGACTTTGAGGCAAATCTGGAGAGGGTAATGGGATGAAAGTCAAATAGAGGACCCTCAATTTGAAACTTTTCAATGGAAGCAATCCCGAGGACAATTTAAGAACTTTCAATAATCTTGTCCAAGACATGAGGGGAGGAATTGCCAAGGAAATAAAAGCAGCCCGAAGCTTCTAATGCACAAGAGCTCATCAATCGTAACTCCTAGATTTCAAGCCCCATAAAGAAAGAGGAAGGCTTAGAAAACAATGTTGGTAAAAGGTTTTGATAGGCCCACTTTGAATCCATCAAGATGAAGATTCCAGAATTTTTAATGGTAAAAACAACGCTGAAGAATACCTTGAATGGGAAGAAGGTAGAACAAATCTTTGAATGCGCATAATTATTCTTCCGCCATAATTATTCTCAAGAAAAGAAATCTCACCTTGCAGCTATCAAATTCAAGGGTTATGCTATGTTTTGGTGGGAACAATTGCTATTAAACAGAAAAGGAAAAGGAATGCAACCTATACCACCATGGGAGATCATGAAGGAGTTGATGCTCCAAAAATTTGTCCCTACTCATTACATTAGGGATTTGAACAATAAGTCAGGAATGGTGCAAGGTAGGAAAAATATGGATTACCTCAATAGGTATTCATTCACAAAGGATGGATGGGACTGGCCCAAGATCATGTTCCTCAAAAGAAGCATGTGAAGACCAATATGGAAATCAAAAGATGAGTTTTGAGACTGTCAATAAAGAAAAAGAGAGTCAAAATAAAATGAGTGAAAATATACTGAGTAAAAATAAAAAGAAAGAGGGAAAAGAAAAGGAAAGACAAATTCAACCTATAATTGTACCTTTGTGCAAAGAAGTTTGTTTGGTCATCAATGATCCTAACCCATCTTTGCCAAGTGTGTTTGTTGATCCTTTGCAAGAATTTGCAGATGTGTTTCCAAAAGAGGATTGCCAATCATCAATTGAGGATAAAAAGATGGTTCTTGATCCATTATCACCTCAAGAAGTATATGAAGATCAAAGGAAGATAATTGAGAGAGAAAGAGAGGTTTTTTCGGGCCTGAGAAAAATGAGAATGAGATTTTCAAAAGAAACCAAAGTGTAAAAGAGTGAAGAAAAAAGAGGAGGAAGAAAGCCACAGAACAAACAAAACAAAAGATGGCATTAGAGAGGTAAACTTTGATTGAGAGAACAAAAGATGAAAAGAGTGAGGAGGAAGGGAAAAGAAGGCCACAAAATAACAAAAAACAAATTAATGGCCCAATTATGAGTGAAAAAAGAAACAAATTTATGTATGTGAAGAAAGAGAGAGATCCCAAAACAAGTGTGAGTAAAGGTTAGACCGGTCCAAGATTCGTTTAAAGTTTTTGCGTAATTTGACTAACATTGACACCTCTCTCTCCCCTTCTAAGTTCGTTTTCTTTGTGCAGGGATCCCTAATGGTAAGAAGAAAGCCTACATTGATAAGGAATGCAACGCTAAGGCTAGGGTTCATATGAACTGAAGAACAAGCTATGCCAACCGTGCAACAAGAAGAAGAAGGCATGAATGTGTTTAAACCTGGAGAATTGGTTTGGGTACATTTTTCGCCCAGGTAAAAGTTTTCCAACCAAGGAAGATTAAGCTTGATGACGTGGAGAATGGACCGCATTCAAAAGTCGTGGAGCACGTTGAATGACAAACACCTACAAGATAGGCTACCAGGTGAGTATGGTGTTTCCATCTTTCAATGTTAGTGATTTGTCCTCCTTTTGACATGGATGCACGAATTTGAGAACAAATTTTCGAGGAAAAGGGGAATGATACGATCCGCTAATCACTCATCCATGAACTCAAGGGAGCAAAGAGAACAACATGAAAAATCCATTAGGGCTACCTAGTGGATCAATTACAAGAAGTCATGCAAAAGAAATATGGAGCAACCATGGAGAAATATGAGAGAGCCAATGGATACCTTCAACTTCTAATTAAGATTCGAGGACGAATCTTTTCGAGGAAAAGTGGAATGATAAACGGAATCGCTAACCACCAACCAATAGATCTCAAGGAAGCAGAGACACCTAGTTTCTTCACATTAATGAACCACATGTTGAGAGGAATCTGAAATTCCAGCATATGGCACTGCCCTGGCCATACTAGAGCCTAACTTTGGCGAATATTAGCCCATTTTTGTTAGTTTTTGAGGTTGTAATGTTGTTTTGGGCCACAATAAATTGGGCCAACCCTTTTAATTTTTATCCTTAGTTGGTTTGGAATTAATTAATTTCTTATCCTTAAGTTGGTTGGATAATATTCCTTATCCTTAATTTGTTTGGATTAGTTAGTCCTATCCCATAGTTGGTTTGGATTATCCTTAATCCTTAGTTGGTTTGGATTAATTATTCCCCTTATCCTAGAATTTATTTAGATTTAGCTATGCTTAGTTGATTTGGATTAGTTAACCAAAATCCTTAGTTGTTTAGATTTGCTAGTCAATCTTTAGTTGGTTTAGATTTGCCTAAATCCTACTAAGGTTTGGATTAATTATTCCTTATCCCTAGATTTATTTAGATTTAGCTAATATTTAAGTTGATTTGGAATAAGTTAACCCAATCCTTAAGTTGTTTAGAATTTGCTTAGTCATATCTTTAGTCGGTTTAGATTGCTAAAATCCTACTCCTTAGATAAGTCTAATCCTTTTAAGAATCTGGACCCTCTTAGATTAGTATAAATAGCTTGTTTATTGGTAATTATTTCACATTATATCAATCAATGAAATAGATTCTTCCTTCATGCCTTTGGCGTGTTCTTGCTTTAAGAGAGAGGTGTGAGTGTAATTATTCACATTATTATTCAATCAATGAAATAGAATTTCTTCTTCATGCTTTGGCGTGTTCTTGCTTTAGAGAGAGTGTGAGATTGCATTCTAATTACATCAAGAATCAAGGTAAACTTATCAATTCTTTTGTGGCATTTATCTTATTCTTTTACTCTATTATTGGTGTTCTTTTTGGGTGCCATAGAGGGGAGTTTATTTAAATCTTTGATCTCTTCCAAAACTTGTCATAGAGTTCATGAAATTAATTTTCATAGGGTTCCGCGTCAGAATTGCCGTTAATTCTTATAAACATCAAAAAAAGTTTCATTTAATGGTATGATCTGCAATATCCTGTTAAAAAGGGATAATTTATTGGAGGACGAAAAATATATTTAACTATTTTACATTAGATTACATTTATAGTTTAACAAATGTAGTCCTAAACAATATTAATTAGTTGTTCGTGAAGCAAAGGCCAAAAGGAGTTTAGACAGACAGAAGAATGACTTAGTCTGTGCAGCTTGCAGATATGACAGGCACTGAACATACAGCTCGTAGGGCATGTGAGTCAGCAATTTAAAGATTGGAGACAGAAACTTGCCCATGCATGAATAGTTCTTGTTAAGTCATACAAGCTTTTATGATGAAATTAATGTTCAAACCAAGCTTTTGCTACAATTTGCTACATGATGCCCATACTTTCAGTAAATTATCCTAACGAAATTTATGTCATATATGAAGATGGACAGTTATTGGTTGTTCATATCTAATCATACATATCTTCATCTTAATCCCTTTTCTTTTGATCTTCTCTATATATATATATATAGAGAGAGAGAGAGAGAGCAATTCATCTCTTCATTTGATAGCAACTTCTGTTTCTATTTCAAATATTAGGTTACAATGTGGCCACTGGGTCTTTTTATTGTGGCATTTTTTGTAATGTACATTGGGAATTGGGTTTATAAATGGAGAAATCCTCCTTGTAATGGAACCCTCCCTCCTGGTTCTATGGGTTTCCCACTCATTGGAGAGACCATTCAATTCTTTATTCCTAGCAAGTCTTTAGACATGCCTCCTTTTGTCAAGAACAGAATTAAGAAGTAAGTCTCAAAGTTAAATATACTTAATCCTAAACTTCAAATTTTCCTCTTTTTGGGTTACAAATTATAATGTGTTTAACTGCTTTATATATATATGTGTGTGTGTGTCTAGATATGGGCCAATGTTCAAAACCAGCTTGGCAGGTAGACCAGTTGTGGTATCATCAGATGCTGATTTCAATTATTTCATACTTCAACAAGAAGGGAAGTTGGTAGAGTTATGGTATCTTGATTCATTTGCTGAGCTTCTTGGCCAAAATGGTTCTCTTAAAGAGGGTTTTATTGGATATATTCACAAGCACCTAAAGAAAGTAATTTCAGAGCACTTTGGTCCCGAGAGACTTAAGGGAAAGCTCCTTCCTCAATTGGAAGAAATGGTTAACCATTCCTTGCAGGCTTGGACGATGCAGGAATCTGTGGAAGTCAAACATGAATGTTCTAAGGTGTGTCAATGTATAATAAGTAAATTGCTATTTTTTTTTTTTTCTAATTAGATACTTGCACTCTTATTTTGCACTAACTGTCGTTATTAGATTTCTTGGGTGTATAGACCAGCTGTAGTTAAGTCTTGTTACTATGTATAATGAATTTTTTTGGCCTTTCAGATGATATTGGATTTCACTTCAAAGCTGCTATTTAGTTATGATAGTGAAAAACAAGGGAAAAGTCTAAGTGAAACATTTGCAAGCTTTATACAAGGCCTGTTTTCTTTTCCTTTGAATATACCTGGAACTGCCTTCCACAAGTGCATGCAGGTAGTTTAAATATTGGAACATATTTCTTTTTTTTTTCCTTAAATTTCTTGCTTATTTTATGATTCCAATTACTCTGTTTTTCCATGGTTAGAATCAAAAGAAAATCTTGAAAACAATAAGGAAAACGATAGAGGAGAGAAGAGCATGTCCAGGAACAAGAAGAGAAGATTTCCTTGGTCGTCTAATAGAAGAAATGAAAGCAGAGAATTTGTTGAATGATGATCTTGTTTCTTTTGTTATCTTTGCACTTCTACTTGCCACCTCTGAAACTGTTCCTTCAACTCTTACTCTGGCCATTAAGCTACTGACTGAGCATCCTCTTGTCATGCAAGAACTAGTGGTATGTATACCTGTACTCTTCAAGCAAACCAACAAAATTATTTGGGAATCACTGTGATTAACCTATCAGCCGTTGTCTGTTTATATGTCATTATTCAGAAGGAAAACGAGGAGATCATATGTAACAGGGAAAATAAAGAAACTGGATTAACATGGAAGGAATACAAGTCGATGACTTTCACAATGCATGTGAGTTTTCAAGAATATAACTATTTATTCACATGTTCATTATTATGTTCTTGACACTCATTTGGATTTGCAGGTTATCAATGAAGCACTTAGGATGAGCGGATCTGTAGGGATTTTAAGAAGAACAATTGAAGATATTGACATAAATGGTATCTGTTTTTCTTTAATATATATAGCTAATACATTCATGGTCTTCGAGGTTAGCATTTAGTTGATTCAGTTTCGAGTCGAATTGAATTACTATAAATTGAACCAAACCGATTACTATTCAGCATACTTAGCTTGCTTTCCTCATTTCTTTGTATAATAATTAATATGTAAAATGCAAATTTCACAGGATATACAATTCCAAAAGGATGGACAATTATGATAGTTCCATCTTCTCTTCACTTGAATCCAGATATATATAAAGACCCGCTTGCATTCAATCCTTGGCGATGGAAGGTAGGAGCTTAAATTTGAATTAACTATAATAAACCAAAAAAAAAAAAAAATTCAACTTTTCTCTTTGAACTACTAAAAAAAATCAACAAACAGGATTTGGGACCAAACGTTCGTGCCAAAAATTTTATCCCGTTCGGTGGAGGAATGAGATCTTGCGGTGGAGCTGAGTTCAGTAAAGTGTTGGTGGCAGTGTTTCTTCATGCCTTCGTAACCAAATATAGGTAAATTTTTAATTGTATCATTTAAATTTTACAAACCTAATCACTAAATAAATTTTTTCTTTTTGGGAAAAATTATAATTCTACCCAAATCATTTTAAAAAATTATTTTATCATAACCTTGTACATAAGTTATAATTATATGCATTTGACGAAAATTACTCATCATTTTTAACAATTGAGAAGAAATTGATTAAGAGTTATAATAGATTTAAGTATGGATACAAATGCTCGGAAAAAATAATAAGTGGTGGGTTGTTGGAAAACGTTTTTTTTTAAAAAAAAAAAAAGAAGAGAAACAGTAATTTTTGATTTTTTTTTTTTATGGGAATGAATTTTTTTTTTAATAAAGAGGATAATATGTTTTATTCCATTAACTATAAGGAGTTTGATGTCTTAACATCATTAAATTCGTTTTGAAGTGACATTTATATAGGCTAACATGTAGTATTGAAAGTTTGACATGTCAGTGCACATCACACATTAGTTGTATTAAGGCACTATAACGTATTAACAGAATGAAATGCAAATCTCTTTTAATAGATTTTTCTAGCTTATTTTTCATTTCAATTTTTGACCATTGAAGTTAAATTAAAACCTATTTTTAAAAATTAGAAAGGTTTGGATACAATTGTAATTTTTTTTAAAAAAAACAAAGCTTTTTTTAACCATTAGGCTAATTTTTATATCTGAGAGATAATAGGTATCTAAATCTTATATTTATGTCACCTACACAATGAAAAATTGAAATTAATTGCCCTTCCCTCACAATTATGCTGGGTACAGTCGCTATATGCACTAAATAATTTTCTGAAACTAATGTTAGGGTTTGGATGTGTCAGGTTGACCAATGTGAAGGAAGGGGAAATTGTTAGAACTCCAATGTTGGGATTTGGAAATGGGCATTACATTAAAGTCTCAAAAAAGCCAGAAATGGAGACAGAAAATTGAGCGTGTCAAATGTAATGTAGATAGTGCAAAAATTAGCAAATACTAAAATAAATGTGTGATTCCAATTGGTAATTTTATTTGTACTGAAAAATTAAATCTCTTGTGAATTAGTGTTTAATACAAGGACTATGCATATGTACAAGTACAACTATAATTAAGAGAATGGATGTATCATTTATGGTGTATATTATCATGGCTGTGTGTTCGACTACAGCTTTTTAAATAACGTTTATAATTAAGAGAACGGAAGTGTCATTTATGGAGAATATGATAGTGACTGTGTTCGGTAATAATTTTTTAAATAGCTGTAACGTTTTTGCCAGTCAAAATATTACACACTACTTAAAAAGTTATTCGATAACATAACGTTTGACTAGGTTTTAGAAATTACGATAGCGTGTTTAGCTTTTACCATTTTATGAAAAACTATTTCAACCGCTAACTATTAAACATTACTAAAACAACTAAGAACTTCTAAAACAGTTAACAACTACCAAAACACCTAATTTTGCCAAACAAACCTGATATAAAAATCGCTATTAAAACAGCTAACAACTACCAAAACTAACTTTGCCGAATAGATCCAATGTAAGAATTGGAACATAAGTGATGCTAAGATTAAGATTGCCTAATGTCCATGTTTCTTGTAATATTAATTAAGCTGGTCAGCTTTCTGTTCTGGCTATACTGTGGTATGTTTTGGGATTATATGCTTCCTACTTTGGCTCTACTTTTAGGTAAAACTTCCACTGGTTTGTAACTTCATGAGATTTTGAAATCTCAATGGCAAACAAGTCTTGAGGTCAGGTATGATGTGTGTTGTTCTGGGTTGTGCATAGCATAGAACTCTCTTTCATACATTGACACAAACAATTAAAAACCATTGACAATAGCAAATTCTAGGGGTGTGCAAAGTCGGGTTAGAATGGAAATTACATAAATTTCAGTTCTATTCCAAAATATTGGGACATGAAAAATGGAGTCTCAATCTCATCCCAATAGATACGTAGTCTCGTCTCATCCCGTTTCATTTTCTGGGACGGGACGAGAGTTCAAATTTATAGGATAGAATGTGTCGGATCGAGAATCAATCGGAATTTTCCGTAAACTTACTAAATTAGTTTTCATCTAAATTACTATTTTCATCATTGAGTTAAAATAAATAAATTCAATCATTTATGGTCTACTATTAAAGTTAATAATACAAGATTTTTAAGTAGTTATTTTCTAGTTAATAAAAACGTTAAATATAATAAAATAAAATAATGCAAAAATTATATACAATTTAATTTTACATGTATTTTATGAATTTTAACTCATTATTGTTCTCGTCACTATTATCTTTATGCTAATTTAAATTTGATACTTAATTTAATACTGAATGTCATCTTAAAAATAAAAATGATAGCATTAAGCACATCTAATAATCCTAATAAATTCTGGAAACTGTCGATCCCTGCTAAAGTGAAGCACTTTGCATTTAGAACCTGTCATGGTCAACTTCCAGTGCTGAGTGCGCTGTTGAGAAAGTAATTCTATTTTCTATATCTTTATCATAAAATATAACCACCAATTTATACAAGAATACTCACATAATTCTAGTCTAGGATTACGTATTTACATCCTTAATCTAGGTAACGGCTATAGACAAGGAAATCTGAACCATAAATACAAATTATCCTAATTATATAATAATTACTAATACCCCTCCTCAAGGTGGTGCATGTATATATGTCATGCCCAGCTTGTTCACAGATTCTTCAAAAACTTGCTTAGATACTCCTTTTGTTAAGACATCTGCAAGCTGTTGATTTGATCTCACAAATGGCAGTTCAATAACCTTACTCTCCAACTATTCCTTTATAAAAAATCGATCAATCTCTATGTGTTTGGTCCGATCATGTTGAATAGGGTTGAATGCAATTTCAATTGCTGATTTATTATCACAAAATAGTTTCATAGGAGTTTGTAACTCAAATTCGATATCCTTCAATAATTTCTTGATCCAAAGAAGTTCACATATACCCAATGCCATGCCTCTAAATTCAGCCTCAGCACTGGACCTTGAGACCACGGATTGCTTCTTACTACGCCAGGTTACCAAATTTCCGCCAACAAACATAAAGTAACTAGAAGTGGACCTCCTGTCATCTACACAACCTGCCCAATCAGCATTAGTGTGGCCTTCTACACAGAGGTGACCATGATTTCTAAATAAAACACCTTTTCCTGGACATCCTTTCAAATACCGAAGAATTCTTCTCAAAGCAGCTAGATGGGATTCACGCGGATCATGCATGTATTGGCTTGACCATGATTTCTAAATAAAACACCTTTTCCTGGACATCCTTTCAAATACCGAAGAATTCTTCTCAAAGCAGCTAGATGGGATTCACGCGGATCATGCATGTATTGGCTTACAATATTAACAGCAAATGTTATATCAGGTCTTATGTGTGCCAAATAAATTAGCTTACCAATAAGTTTTTGATACCTCTCTTTGTCAATTTTTGTATCACCATTAGTTCCCAAACATAATTTTAAATTTTGCTCAACTGGTGTGTCAACCGGACAGCAATCCATCATACCACTTTCTACTAGTAGGTCTAAGACATACTTCCTTTGTGACAAAAAAATCCCATCCTTGGACCTAGCCACTTCAATTCGCAAGAAGTACTTCAAATCCCCTAAATGTTTTCCTTTGTGACAAAAAAATCCCATCCTTGGACCTAGCCACTTCAATTCGCAAGAAGTACTTCAAATCCCCTAAATGTTTCATTTCAAATTCATTTGCCAGGTATTTTTGCACTCGATCGATTTCAACCTCGTCATCTCCTGTCAAAATCATGTCATCCACATTTATTATAAGAGCAGTAACAGAACTACCATTCTTTTTCATAAACAGTGTATGATCGGCATTACTTTGATAGAAACCAAAATTCAGCATTGCCTTCGTGAATTTCCTAAACCATGCTCGAGGAGATTGCTTAAGGCCGTAAAGGGCTTTGTTCAGCTCACAAACCTTATTACTCCCTTCATACTTCTTCACACCTGGAGGCAATTCCATATACACATCTTCTTCCAACTCACCATGTAGGAAGGCATTTTTTACATCGAATTGTAATAGGGGCCATTTCATGGTAGCAGCTAAGGATAACAGAATTCTTATAGTATTCAAGAATTCTTATAGTATTCAATTTTGCAACTGGGGCAAATGTCTCCTGGTAGTCAATTCCATAGGATTGAGTAAAGCCCTTAGCGACTAACCTCACCTTAAACCGTTCCACAGAACCATCGGTATTGTGCTTCACAACATAAACCCATTTACAACCCACAAGTTTTTTACCTTCGAGTAAATCACATAAGCTCCATGTGCCATTCTTTTCTAATGCTTGCATCTCCTCATCCATAACTTTGGTCCACCTAGAGTGTTCCAACGCCTCTTGCACATTCTTAGGAATAGAGACAGAGGAAAGTTTTGATATAAGCAGTGCATAAGACTTTGACAACCTATGAGTAGAGATGTAATTTGTAAATGGGTATTTAGATTTGGAAGAAATTTCTGGTCATATTGTATGGGTGGCTTGCCTCTATTAATCTGATGAGGTAAAGAATAGCCAACATTAGGCTCTGGTTCAGGTTCAATTATCTCAACTATTTCAGATTCAGAAGTAATAGGTTCAGAATCAATTACCTGGTTTGGTGACGATAATTGTGGTTGAGCACCAGGATGGAGAATACTATCAAGAGACTCGGCTTGATCAATGGGTTCAATATTAATCATCCCTGCATTTTCACTTATTGGATTAACTAAACCTTGTCCCTCAGTAGTATTAAATTCCAGTTCAACACTAGATTCGGCTAGATTAGGAATCACAGTATCACAGCAATTAGAGTTTCCTTCATTGGTGTACCTTGTTCCAGATCGCAGTAGTATTAAGTTCTAGTTCCAGCAGCTAGATTTCGCTAGATTAGGAATCACAGTATCCGCATCTGGTTAACACATATTGCTCCTTCATCAGATTCAGTCCCTCACTGAAGTGGCGGCACAATGAGGTAAATAAATAAAGTCGTTCATGACTAAAACACCAATCCCTAGAAATAAACCATTACCTCTTGTCTCAGGCATGGATAGGCTTTATATACCTTAGTATGGCACACATATCCTAAAAACACACTTTAAGGCTCTAGCATGCAATTTTAGTTCTTAGTTGTGCAATGAACATGAACATAGCAGAACATCCGAAAACCTTTTAGGAGGTAAATGCATAATAGAAGGAAGTTCATATTTTTCAGAAAGTTTTCTCTAAAAAGGGAGAGAATTCAAAAACTTTTTGAAGGATGTTCTGTTTAACACATACACAACAATACATAGCTTCCCCAAAAACAAATAGGCACATTGCTACTTAACTACAAAGGAGCGAGTAATATTTATAAATATGTTGATTTTTTCTTTCGGCAGTCCATTTTGCTGGGTGATAAGTACAAAGTAGTTTTGATGTATTGATTCCTTTTTCGTTAAAAAAAATTGGTTTTAAAAAATCATTTGAAACAATATTCCCGCCATTTGTCTGAACGGAAAACTTTTAATAGTTTTAATGACTGAGTTTTCGATCATTGCAAAAAATTTCAAATCAACACAAGAAACCTCACCTTTTTTGTTTTCATTAAAAATCCATGGGCATGGTAACACGACTATAAATTCAATCAATAAAACTAATGAATAGTTCCATCCCGATTATCCATCCGCATCCATTATAAGTTTTTCTTTGGGTGCAGGACCCCACACCATCAGTGTGAACAAGAATCAAAAGGCAAACATTGACACAGAATATGGATTAGGAAAAAATATTTCTTTTATTCTTAGCAAGAATACAAGACTCACAAACAAAATTTAGATAAAGACAATCCATCAAATAAAAGAGGGAAACATGTTTAAGATAGCCAAAAGAAGGGTGACACTACTAATCTTTTTATGCCAAGCAAAATACTCAAGCCTATTTCTGATCAACTTTATATTTTGGCTAGAATAGAGAAACAACAGAATAGAAGAACCAGGAGAGTCATCAAGATAGTATAATCGCCCTTTTGCCTACCACTGCCGCAATCGTCTCCAAACTCGTGTTGTCCCTGAAATAGACATATGGAAGAAGATGAATGAGGCTGTACAATTTAGGCCAGCTGTAATTTGGCTAACAAAAAGTAAGTTAC